AAAGAAAGAAAGAAAGAAAAAGAAAAGAATGGACACAGAGACACACACAAGGAGTAGATGGCAGGACAGAGACAGATGCATCAACAAAAACTGCCAGCAACTACTAGAAGATAAATAAGGACCTTGCCCTATATCTATGCCCTGAATTTGGACCTACAGCCTCCTGAACCGTGAGAAAATAAATGTCTGTTCTTTAAAGCCCCCCCCCCAAAAAAAAAAATCTTAAAAAGCAACGATGTCATTTTAATTACTAAGGTGTGCCTAACTCAAATCATGGTATTTTCAACCAACTTATACACATGTGAAAGCTGGATAACGATTAAGGAAGACTGAAGAAAAATTTACGCATTTGAATTAGGGTGTTGGTGAAGAACACTGAATATACCATATACTGGCAGAAGAACAAACAAATCCTTCTTGGAGAATTTATAACCAGAATGTCCCTTAGAAATGAGGATGGTGAGACTTCATCTCACTGACTTTGGACACCTTCTCAGGAGGGACCAATCACTTCAGAAGTACATCATTTCTCGTAAAGCACAAGGTCAGCAAAAAAGAGGAAGATCCTCAACAAGATGGACTAACACAATGGCTACAACAACAGGCTCAAACAAACCTACAATTATGGGGATGGTGCAGGACTAGGCAAAGCTTTCTTCTTTTACACTTTAGGTCACTATAAAGAGTCAATTGAATGGCACCTAACAGTAACATCAAATATAACATACAATCTCTATAGTATGGTGGTAGTGGTAATTAGGTGTCATAAAGTCAATTTTTCAACTCACAGTGACCCCATGTGACAGAGTAGGACTGCCCCATCAGGTTTTCTAGACTATAATCTTTATAGGAGCAGATCACCAGGCCTTTCTTCCAGGTGCCTCTAGGTGGGTTCAAACCACCAAGCTTAACCCTTTGTGCCACTCGGGGACTTTTGAATTTTAGTTATTTATACCATTGATATGATGATAATGCATTTTCATATAAAACATGAGGAAACAAATATTAGATGCACATTCCTCTGCTTGGTTCAGTTTCTTTGAAAATTAAATCTTAAATTTTAAAAAAGATATTCATATGCAATATGAATCAAAACTTTTTACTGTGGTTTGTACATTTTTAACCCATACCAGGTGAATTATTAGAATATTTGATGGAATGAATAAATTAAGTAAACCGTCTGACTATGTTGTTGCTGTTATTGCCCTCAAGTCGGACCCAACTCATAGCAACCCCTTCTTGGGTTTCCCAGGTGGTCTTCCTTCCCAGGAGTGGCTGGTGGGTTTGAACTGCTAGCCTTCTGGTTAGCAGTCAAATGCCTTAGGCACTATGCTACCAGAGCTCTGACTATAGGACATACAAAATACATATGAGGATAAAGTCCTTTCTATTAAAGAACATGTGTTGATAGGAAACTACTTAGTTGTCCCTGCCCCCCCCCCCCAGTGTTTGGTAGCACTATCTTTTGGAGTAGGTGATGCAGATTGAATATGGCATAGCAAGTCTCCATGGAGTTCCCCGCTACTCTCCCCATGTAGTATAACCCTCTTACTCCCATCCAGTGGATTCTGACTCATAGAGATCCTACAGAACAGAACTGCTCCATGGGGTTTCCAAGGCTGTAGATCTTTACAGAAGCAGACTGCCTCATTTTTCGCCTGCAGAGTGGCTAGTGGGTTCAAATTGCTGACCTGTGGGTTAGCAGCCAAATGCTTTAACCACTGTGCCATCAGAGTTTATAATGTAAGTGGAAAAAAGACTTAAATAGCAAGTATTACATAAAAATAATTGATTTTGAATATTCTGTTTTCACAACCTCAAGTAATCCATGGGCTTATACTACCATTTTCTTTTAAAATCTTAACTTAAATATTTAATTCTGAGCTTATAACGTTAAACACATTAATGAAGATCTGGGACATCAATATTGGCAAATCTAAGAAATCATTAATAGCAGTTAAATAAGATTTAATTTATCAATTTGAAAACAGTGACTATATTTTCTAATTTTATTAAAAGCACTAATTAGACGAAGATGTTGTTGTTGTTGCTATGTAATGTCGAGTCGGACTTGACTCACAGCGACCCTCCTTGGGTTGCCAAGGCAGTGTCACTACGGAAGAAGATTGCCCAACCTTCCTTCTGAGGAGTGGCTGTGGATTTGAACCACCAGCCTTCTGGTTAGCAGTCAAGTGCCTCTAAGTGGGAGGGGCAGTCTAAACAATTTTTTTTTTCAGGAAATTCAATGATAGTTAAAAATCTAAAATTATTTAAGTGCATAAAACTCTAAAACCAGTTTAAGTAAACGTCATGTAAATGAAATATGAAACCATTGTTTAAAATAATTAGCAATATTTACCTTGTGGCATTTTGTTCGAGTTTGTCATCAATGTCACTGAAGATCTGCTTAAACTCCAAGTCTCCAGGAAACGAATTTAACAGACAATGTAGGTCAAAAGAATGAAGGGAATATTCATCTCCCCAATCCATTCTGAGGAATTAGAATAAATAATAAAACATGTCAGTTTCTCCAAAACGAGAAAACAAGTTGTGATACAAAACCAAAAACACTAATTCCTAAATATGTAATCAAATATAGCAGTAGGAGAACTAGGGTATTATTAAGTTAGGTGGAGTGTTTTGTTATTTAAATTTCATGAGGTGTGACCTAATTTTCACACTTCTCTAGGGTTTGAAAGCTGAATAAAACAGTACCCCTCAGAGAGTACTTAAGTATCCTGCTGATTCTCAAGGTAACCATAGCTGTGAAATCACAAAGCCCCATGGACCCCAAAAGCAGAGGTGAGTGCAGCAAGAATTCAAAACTTACCCTCTACCCTTGTCAACATACTGACCTGGATATTGTATGTAGCCTCAGACATTTTAAAGTGTTTCCACCTGGGCCTATATATGTGACTGAGGCAAAATTATCCTTGAGTTTTTCTTTAGCACCCCTTGACAACTTCAGTATGAGTGAACTATATTTTAAATATGCTTCTGCTGCTGGAGGAACATGCATTTTCCCACCATCAAGGCTTCCTTCCTTCATTCATTTCACACAATGTATTGAATGTTTGGTATGTATCAGGTACTGCTGTAGGAGCTGGGGATGTATCTGCAACAAGTTAATATTCCTGCTTTAGTGGAGCCTTTATTCTGATGGGGAAGACATTTTAAAAGCAAACAGATTTTATCGAAGGTCACATGGTGAGAGTGCTCTGAGGAAAAGTAAAGCAGGGCAATGGGATAAACTAAAAATGATGGATTTGGGACAGAGTGTGAACTATTTCATTTAGGGATGTCATAGAAGGCCTCCAGAAGGAGGTGACTTTTGAGGAGAAAAAAGTGAAGAAGTATGCTGTAGGAGAAGAGATGGTGGGAAAGGCAAACTAGTTTCTTAACTACTTTAGTCAATAAGTGACTTTTATCGTATCTGCTGGCCTCCCCCTTACTTCCTTGCCCTTCACCCAAATTAATGTGTCTACCCTCTAGTTATTTACCCTCCTTCACCCTCCACCCTTGGTAACCATCAAAGAATGTTCTTTCTGTGTGAAAACCTTTTCTTGATTTTTTTATAATAGTGGTCTCATACAATATTAGTCCTTTTGTGATTGACTAATTTCACTTGGCATAGTGCTCTCCCTGTTAGCCCATGTTATGAACTGTTTTGCAGATTCACTGTTATTCTTTAATGTTGTGTAGTATTCCACTGTGTGTGTACATAGCTTGTTTATACATTCAACCACTGGTGGGCATTTAGGTTGCTCCCATCTGGAAGTAACCTAGGCTCTGTTCTACATCTCACTTTGGTCAATATCATGCTAGGTGCCCTATCCACCAAGATCTTCAATTTTGTTTAAAAAGCACTTCAAATCACGAACTGCTATAGCATGTTGAGAAGAAGAGACTAACTTATTAAGCTGCTCCTAGACATTTAACTCTTCTCTACAGCCTACTTCAGTTTATGATATTGTCTCTGAAGTTAACACTACTCCTGATAATGGCTCTTACTAGCAGGACAACTCTACTTTTATATGTTATAGAGTGTGGTTTCCATATCTCTGGTTTCTTCATCAATCTGAGCCTCTCTACTTTCTATCTTCCTGAAATATGCCAATGGCACCTCATATTTCTTTCAAGGTTGTTTTTCTGTATATCTTTCCTGACATTTCAGTGGGACTTCAGAGGAAGAGAAAATAAATGTGAGTTTAATCCTCCATCTTCAGAATTTTCTATCTTCCAATCCTACACTAAGCTAATAAATCAAAAATATAAGATTTTTGACATTCAAAACTTGGTGATGAGTCTTTTCAAATAGATCTAGCTTAATGCAGTATAGTGATAACAAGTAATTTGATATATGACATATAAATATTTTTAAATGCTAACACTGGCAAATTAAAGATAACATTAAATAACATAAAGTCATAAACCCCAATTAGAACACTTTGGCCAAGATCAGTCCATCCGATTTTTCCTTCCTCCCTCCCTTCCTTCTTTACTTCATTTTTCTCTTTCTTCCCTCCTTCTCTCCCTCCTTCTTTCTCTCCCTCCCCCACTTTGTTTTTCTCTCTCTACCCACCTGCCTCAGAAGGAAGGTTGGACAATCTACTTCTGTAGTCATACTGCCTCGCAAACCCAAGGAGAGGTTGCTATGAGTTGGGGCCAACTCGATGGCACCTAACAAAAACAACCCACCTGCCTATTTTGTTTCACTTTACTCTCTACAGTATACTTTTACTGTATTATAAATGTTACCTTTAATTTATATTGCATTCACAGTATTGAAATATTATTGTCTATAAATTTCTTTGAGTTAAAATTGTATTTTGGTACACATTACAGATTATCTGAATCAAACTTAATTTTGCATATTCCCCAGTATAAGTAGAAATAGTAAGGATTTTTAACAGGACAAAATTCTAATAATCAGACACTTAGAAGGTGTGGATCTAGCATTCAGGTTTGACTACAGGACAACACATCTCAAGATTCATGACAAGTAATTGCATGTGCTTGGATCTGGGAGTTAGTCAGTTAGCTAACAAACAGAGTTAGCAAGTGAGTAGGTAAGGTTGGTCCAGAGTCTGCACCTCAATTCATCTTTGTTCTTTACTTTTTATTGCACATGCTGTAACTCTTGTTTGTAGTCATTTAAAAAAAAAAAAAAAAGCAAGCTGTGATTGCTAAGAATAGCAGAGACTGTGACAAACTGATTTATACATAAATTAATGAGCAGACTAACACTTAAAGAACTAGTAAGGATGTGGTCACTTAACTTTTTTTTAGTCATACTCTACTAAGTACTATGGGAAAAACTAAATGATAGAGAAGCAATAAACTCTATATATCTTGGCATATCCTTACTGAATGTCAAGTCTATTATAAACAAGTTTTTAAATAATTAAAAATATTACATGCTTTTTGTTTTAAGGAACTCTGGTAGTGTAGTGCCTAAGGGACTTGACTGCTAACCAGAAAGCTGGAGGTTCAAACCCACCAGCCACTCCTCAGAAGGAAGATGGGACAATCCACTTCCATAGTGATACTGCCTCTGAATCCCAAGGAGGGGTTGCTATGAGTTGGGTCCAGCTCGAAGGCACATAACAACAACATTTCATTTTTAACTCACTGTGGTAATCATGTGATGATTATATGATTCTGTGCAACATATTTAATATTTAATTATAAAATAAAATTATTGCTATATTTCAAACCTTTTTTATTATTTTCATAAATGGCAGACTATTCTTTATGCAAAAAACGCACTGCCGTCAAGTCGGATATGACTCATAACGATCCCTCCTTGGGTTTCCGAGGCAGTATCACTACGGATATAGATTGCCCAACCTTCCTTCCCAGGAGTGGCTGGTGGGTTTGAACCTCCAGCCTTCTGGTTAGGAGTCAAATGCCTTAGGCACTATGCCACCAGAGCTCCCAGACTATTCTTTAACCGTTCATAATTCTGTATTATTTTCACAGAAATACTGCTGATTAATAACCATATGTATACCTGAACAATTTGTTGGAAAAATAAACCTAGCTATGAGTTATTTAAGGACCTCTTGTGGCATAGTGCCTAAGGCATTTAACTGCTAACCAGAAGGTTGGTGGTTCAAACCCACCAGCCACTCTGTGGAAGAAAGACTAGGTGATCTACTTCTGAAAAGATTTTCCACCTCGGAAACCCAAGGAGGGTTGCTATGAGTCAGAATCGACTCCATGGCAGTGAGTTTGCTTTGTTTTTTGGTTATGAGTTATTTAGTTTACTTGCCACATTCTTGTTTGTTAATTACCTCAGCATAGAAAGGATTCCCTTCTAAGTCAAGGGAAATGCAGATCTTTTTTTGTCTGAAATTAAAAAAAAAAAAATTCACTTTTAAAATTATTCTAAGCAATTATTAAAAACTTTCTTATCTTTAATTATAGTGTAAATCTATGGGCTTATTATCTCATATATATATACATGTGTGTGTGTGTGTGTGTGTGTGCGCGCACGCGCCTAAGGCACTTGACTGCTAACAAGAAGACTGGCAGTTCAAACCCACCAGCCACTCCTCAGAAGTTAGGTTGGGCAATCTACTTCCGTAGTGATACTGCCTTGGAAACCCAAGGAGGGGTCGCTATGAGTTGAGTCCGACTCAATGGCACATAAGGAGCTCTGGTGACATAGTGGCTAAGGTTCTGCTAACCAGAACATTGATGGTTCAAACCCACCAGCCACTCTGCAGAAGGAAGACTAGGCAATCTATTTCTGTAAAGATTTACTGCCTTTGTAGCATAGTGGCTAAGGCACTTGACTGCTAACCAGAAGGCTGGCGGTTCAAATCCACCAGCCACTCCTCGGAAGGAAGGTTGGGCAATCCTACTTCCGTAGTGATACTGCCTCGGAAACCCAAGGAGGGGTCGCTATGAGTCGGGGCCGACTCGACGGCAAATAACAACAACAACAACAACAAACCCAAAGAGGGTTGTTATGAGTCAGAATTGACTTGATGGCAGCGAGTTTGGTTTGGTTTTATATTATTTTTGCTGTTAGGTGCCATTGAGTCATCTCTGACTCATAGAGACCCTATGCACAGCAGAACGAAACACTGCCCAGTCCTGTGCCATCCTCACGATCAGTGTCATATTTGAGTACATCGTTGCAGCCACTGGGTCTATCCATCTGTTGAGGGCCTTGCCCTTCTTCCTCAACCCTCCAATTTACCAAGCATTATACTTTTCCAGAGAATGGTCCCTTCTGACAACATGACCAAAGTAGGTGAGACAAAGTCTGCATTCTCGCTTCCAAGGAGCATTCCGGGTTCACTTCCTCCAGGACAGATTTGTTAGTCCTTTTAGCAGACCATGTTACTCTTAGTGTTCTTCTCCAACACCACAACTCAAAAGCATCAACTCTTCTTCGATCTTCCTTTTTGATTGTCCGGCTCTTACACGTATAAGAGGCGACTGAAATGGCTCAGGTTAGGTGCACCTTAGTCTTCAAA